AATGTTCCTTCGTGCATTAGTAATCATATCATGGCACAGAATGTTCCTTTGTGCATCAGTAATCATATCATGGCACGGAATGTTCCTTCGTGCATTAGTAATCATATCATGGCACGGAATGTTCCTTCGTGCATTAGTATTCATATCACAATCGTGCACGACATCACCCTTCGTGCTTTATCACTCGTCCTCACCCAAACAACAATCACAAATAATGGGGCGAGGGAATAGACAAACAAAATAGGAATCCCGGCAAGGGAACAATAACAACAATTTAAATATCCCGACAAGGGAATAACGAATAACTCATTAGCTTTCTTTCATTTCTTACTTCACGTCTCACTTTATCACTTGAGCCAATGCTCCCAAGAATTTTATAATCTCAGATACCTTTTCAATTCGTATCACAACCAAGCCAAAACACCACGAAAATCAAATGATTATAATGTTTTTCACATGTTCTTTACAATATATAGAAATCCTCAATTAACATGGAATTCACAACAAAATCATGGTAATCACCCTTTAAGGACTCACGGTCATGCTAGACACCAATGTATAGATACTCGTCACCATGCCTATACATCGTACTCGATCAATTAGCAAATAGCAAACAAGACTCAACTCCTATTCCCTCAAGCTAGGGTTAAACCAAACACTTACCTCAGCTTCCACAGCTAAATCAATCCACAACGACCGCCTTCCCTCTCGAATTCGGCTCCAACTCAATCAAATCTATGAAATAACGACTTTACAACTTTAATATAAGCTAAACAAATCAAACCCAATGCCTAAATATAGTTTTCTAAGCTTTCTTCCCAAAATTCCAAAAATCGACCTCGGGCCCGCTAGGTCAAAACCCGAGGTTCTAACCAATTTCATATCACCCATTCCCCCACGAGCCCGAATATACAATTTGTTTTCAAATCCGACCCCAAAACAAGGTCTAAATCAAAGGAAATTGAAAAGCCCTAATTCTACCCAATTCCCCCAATTTCCACCCTAATCTATGTGATTTAAGCTTAGAAATTCACTAATTAATGAAAGAAAATGAAGGAAATGAGTGGGGATTTACTAACCCAAGTGGTCTTGAAGAATGGGGGCTTCAATGGACTTCTAAAAGCTTGGGGAAGAAGAGAGCTCGTGAGAATTTAAGTTATTCCCGTATGCACTGTTTCTGAACTTTAAAAAAAATCACTGGGCGAATTTGTTCTACGCGTTCGCGACATGGGGGTCGCGTTCGCGTTCGCGATGAATAGGGCAGAAAGGCATCGCGTTCGCGTGGGAGAGCTACGAACGCGAAGAGTAAAAATACGGGGGTCCAAGGTTTGCTCTACGCGAACGCGTGAGGAGTGCGCGAACGCGTTGAAGGAAATGGGCTGGGGTCCTGGGTTGGCCTATGCGAACGCGAAGAAGGGGAAACCTAAAGGTACGCGAACGCGAGCTGAAGGCCGCGAACGCGAAGAAGGAAAACACTGTTCACCTGCTGCAATTTTTCTGCAATTTTCTTAAGTTCAAAACCACCCCGAACACCTCCGAAAATACTCCCGAGCCCTCGGGGCTCCTAACCAAACACGTCACTAACTCAACAACATTCTACGAACTTAACCGTGCGATCAAATCGCCAAAATAACATCAAACTCAATGAATTAAACCTCAAAATCATCACTTTTTCATCAAACTTCATAAACTTTCATTTTTAAAGATTTAGGTCCGAAACACGTCAAATGACGTCCAATTTCAACCAAATTTTACAGAAAGCGCTTAAACCACATATAAGACCTGTACCGGGCGCCGAAACAAAATATGGGCACGATACCAACACATTATAATCAATTTTCGTTTCAAATTTTCATATTAATTTTAGAAAAACAATTTCACAGAAAAATTTATTTCTCGGGCTCTAGTCCTCGGAATTCGACTCCGGGCATATGCCCGAGTCTCATATTTTTCTACGGACCCTCCGGGACCGTCCAATCACGGGTCCGGGTCCGTTTACCCAAAATGTTGACCAAAGTCAACTTTAATCATATTAATACCAAAATTCATCATTTTTCACATTCATATTTAAGCTTTCTGGCTACGTGACCGGACTGCGCACGCAAATTGAGGCGACCAAAAATAAGGTTTTCAAGGCCTCGGAAGCACGGAATGAATGAGAAAACGGGTGATGACCCTTTGGGTCGTCACACTCTCTCTTAAATCTTGTTCTATTTATATATAGTCAAATTCACACATAAACAACATGTACAATATCTAAGTATTTTGACTGACAAAGTAGGGTTCTTTGAAGTGATTGTGCCAATTTATGGTTTGAATTGATTCTTAATAGTTAAACTTTGAGGAATTAGAATTAGCTGGGTTTTAATTTTGTGTTTCCATACTCCCTTTAGCATAATTTTGTGTTTCTTTTACCAAATACATTATACATGAATACACCTAATTACTCGTAGCAATAAACTTGCATACATGATGGCAAAGTAAAAATTATGAAACCTCTGATGACTTAGTGGATGAGGGCGACGACAAAGAGAAAATGAAGGGAGGGAGGGGCGAGAGATTCCTAGAAAATATTACTCCATTAAAGAAGTTTGTAAAAAAAGATTTTCATGTGTTTTTTGCCATGTCAGGCGTTTGAGACTCACTCACTTTATTGTTGGGAGAGGCTATCAATTATGTGCTCAATAGACACATTTTTAGCATAGATCAAGCTAACGTTTGACCATAGATTCTCAAATTTATTTTGAAAAAATTTGATTTGGGTGAAGTTTGATTTGAAGATGAAAATGTGTTTGGACACAAGTTTTCAAAATATATTTCACTTTTTTTCTGAAAACACATGAAACATGACTTATACCCACAAGTTCTAAAACCTATCACAAATACCCAATAGTACCTTTATCAATAACATTCATTATATTATCGCAAACCATAGTTCTGAACATAAATAAATTTAGTATAAAATTATCATTTTTATAATGAACTACATAATACACTACCACTTGTGGGATTATACTGGGCCGTTGTTGTTGTTGTTGTTGTTGTATAATACACTATCAGATGACCGAGAAGACGAAGCAATATTGTTACAAAATAATAAATGGTGGGCTCTTTTATAAAATATATTCCCTCCGGTCCAAAATAAGTGATTTTTTGGCCTTTTTCTTGTGGTCCAAAATAAGTAATTTTTCCAGATTTCAAGAATGAATTAATTATTTTTTTTCTACATTGTCCTTGAAGTAAATGGTGTTGGAATATGTGTTAGGAGTGTTTATGTGAGACAGTAAAGGTTAATATGGTCAATTCCATTGCTAATTAATGCTAAAAGGTGGATTTCTTAATTTGTGTGAAAACATCCAAAAAATCACTTATTTTGGACCGGAGGGAGTATTAGTTTGGGGTAATTTTTAGAAAAATGTAATAGTGATATTTTGGGCCAAAACCAAACTCTTGAGCTAGTTTTGGAATTTGGATTTTGAGTTTTGGGAATTCGTTAAAATATAGATAAAATCTATGGTCAAACATGTATTTGCAAAAAAAAAACCCAAATATAAAAGGATTCCACGAAAATATTACTCCACTAGAGAAATTTCTAAAAAAAAGATTTTCATGGGTTTTTTGCCATGTCAGGCGTTTGACTCACTCACTTTATTGTTGGAAGAGGTTGTCAATTACACATTTCCAGCATAGATTAAATGCGTGTTTGGTAGGAAGGAAAATATTTTTCGTGAAAAATGAGTGGTTTTATCATTTATTTTTCCTTGTTTGGTTGGTGAGTGAAAAATATTTTCTATATTTGGTTAGAGAGTAGAATATTTTTTTTTTGTTGAAATGAAAAAAATACTTTTTTATATCATGAAAAATAAACTCATTTGTTGAAATGAAAAAATATATATATATATATCTATAACATGAAAAGAAAGTACTATTAATAATATTTTTATTTAGGGTGGGGTAGAGGGGTGGGGTGGGTAAGTGGTGTTGGGGTGTGAGGGTGGGTTGGTGGGGATGGGGAATAGGATGGGTAAGGTTGAGAAGGAGTTTTGGAAAATGTTTTCTTTTCTCTTAATAGGGAAAACATTTTCCTCCAATTGGAGGAAAATGAGTTCATTAGTAAAATGTTTTCCAAAATATTTAGGCCAACCAAACATGGCAAAACTGAAAATTATTTTTCGAAAAATATTTTTCTTCATACCAAATATACCGTAAGTGTTCAATAGGAACAAGGTTTGTTTAGTTCAGGTGTCTAAATGAAAAAAATGGCTAAGTTTAAGAGCCCGCTTGGACATACAAATTTTTTCCTTTTTTTTAATTTTTTTTTTAAAAACAATATTTGGTTATCAAACTCTTACCAATATTTCCAATTTCACTTGAAAATGCATTTTCAAATTTGAAAATCTAGTGAGAACCAGTTTTTCAATTGAAAATGGGAATTTGCTAGTTTTTGGTTACAAATTTATCCCATATTTTTAAAATTTATAAAATGACCCCATCAGTTAGTAAGCTACAACTACCCACAGAAACACAAAACGCACAGGTCTTCTTCTCACCAAAGTGTGCGGCTACCTTTTTGCCATCCCAATCCGGCAAGGGGTTGTTTATTTCAAGTAAGATAATCAAATTGGGATGGTTTTGATATTTTTTACAAGTTGCGGGATATAAGTCATGTTTCGTAATTAAAAAAAAAAAACATTCAAATATGTTGCAAAAAGTCTAACCAAACACAACTTCATATTCAATTCAAATTTTAGTAAAATTTCAATATTTAAAAAAAAAAAATTGAAATTCATATCCAAATGCCTAAGGTCTAAGGGTGTATTTGGCCTCGAAAGAATGATTGTTTTCTCGATTTTAAAATATTAGATTAGATATCCAGAACGAAAGATCCGACTCATCAAGCTGCCACGTGGTAAAATAACATAGGACACCTGGAAATGGACCCTACCCAAAGATATAAAAATAGGTCCACAACAACTTCCCCAATGACCCTATCTATTCCCCTTTCTCGTTTCTTCCAAATCTCATCTTATACTTCCTTTTTCTCTCTCCTCTTTTTTCATACCGCGAAATTGATTTTTTTTTTTTTTCAGTTGGTTAGTTGCCTTTTTGTCTTCCTGATTTGAATCCTTGATATTGCAAAAACCCTAGTTATAAATATTTCCTCGCTTTTTTAAAATCAAATTATGCGTTGAGTTTTCAGATCTGTATTTAAATAACTGTATTTTTTTTGGAATTGTTTTGTGTTTATCCGCAGATCTCTCGAAGTAGTTTATTTGGTTATTCAGATTTTGAATTTTGAGTTTTGAGTTTTGAGCTGTGGAGGTAGGTTAATTTCATCTAATAATCCAAATTGAAGGAGGTTTTCTTGAATTGGTTAGAAATTTCAAGGTTTTGCTTATAAGGACCTTTTAGTTTTCATTTTTGGCGGTTAAGTACCTTTATTTCTTGCAAAGTTTCCAACTCAGTGCTGTTCTTGGAGTTGTGACAAGTTCTTGTAAGTGTTGGATTGGATTGCTGTTGTAGTTAATTTGGTTTCCTGGTTTCTTATAATTTCGCGGTAATGAGTGATGGAATAATGGAAATTGAGAACCCCGTAAATGTTGATTCAAAGTGTGACAGACAATGGTTTGTAGATGCTAGTACTGAACAGGAGGAACCATGCGTCGAGAAGCAGAATTTTAAAACTTTAGATGCTGTAGAATTAGATTGTTGTGCCACGAATCATGCCATGAATTGTGCACCCGAAACTGTAGATGGTGTAGGAGTTGAATGTTGTGCCACGAATCATGCACCCGAAACTGTAGTTGGTATAGGAGTAGAAGGTTGTGCCACGAATCGTGCACCTGAAACTGAAGATGATGTAGAATTAGAAGGTTGTGCCATGTTTCGTGCGCCTGAAACTTTAAATACGGATGAATCAGAGTTAGGTGAAAAGCAGGGAAAAGAGTTGAATAATTGTGATGTCCAGCCCTATGTAAGGATTGATGTGAAGGAAGCTTCGAATGATGAGATGCTTTCTGAAGTTTCAAATCCAAATTTGTCTCCAAGAGAGAACACGTCAAGTTTCCAGACTATCAGTAGTCAAGGAGTTGATTTGTTGAGTAATAATCAAGGTGGTTCTGGAGAGATCACATCTTTTTCGTCAGGGAATTCAAGCGCGGATGAGAGTGTCAGTGAAGAAGAGCATAATCAAATTGATGTATCCGAGGCAGTCGCGAAGTCCTCTGTGGTACTTGAAATTCCAAAGGAATTTAGCACAACTGGTGTCAGGAAGATTACATTTAAGTTTAGCAAAAGAAAGGAGGATTATGGTAATGCATATGCTTCAGCTGCTCTGCCCGTGACTGATCGGGTTGATGATGGATTTGGTGAAGCACATGCATGGTATCCTTTGGCATCTGATGATATGACTCAACGTATTTCAAGCACAAATGGAGCATTTTATCGACATGGAGATCCTTTTTTATGTCCTCCAAACATGGAATTAAAAATGTCTAAGAAGGTCATTTCTGATGCTTACCCGACAAATGTCAAGAAGCTTCTATCGACGGGTATTTTGGAAGGAGCTAGGGTGAAGTACATTTCAACTTCTAGGAAGGTAATTTGTGGGTTTCTCTGTTTCTCGTAATTTAGTGGTCTTTACGTAAGCCTGAAGCATTCTGTAAATGATTGTCAGATGGAGCTTCCTGGAATCATAAAGGATTACGGATACTTGTGTGGTTGTTCATTCTGCAATTTGTCCAAAGTAAGTTTCCTGTCTAAAGTAAAAGCTATCTGTGTGCATGTTAATGATCATACTGAACAGATTGATGTCTCAGCAGGTTCTCAGTGCTTACGAATTTGAAGTGCATGCTGGGGGCAAGACTAGACACCCAAACAATCATATTTATTTGGAGAATGGAAAACCTGTTTACAGGATAATTCAAGAGTTGAAGACTGCACCATTTACCCGACTAGAAGAAGTTGTAAGAGATGTGGCTGGTTCTTCTATTAATGAGCAATATTTTGAGGCTTGGAAAGGTGGTTTAATGTTGATGTCTCAGTTGATTTATTTTTGTTTTTCTGAGACAGTCTCATATTTGACATGCCAGGAATAAGTATTTAAAAGGACATTCTCATGCTTTCCATGCTCCAATTTATGCTGTCGTTTGTTGTGGATGGTAACAGGAAGAAGGGTTGGGGCAATAAAATCACCATATTACTGCTTATTCATCATAGACCTCCATTCTAGAGGATGTTCATTTCAATAAACAATCGAGCTTAGACTGTAGAAAATAAATAACTTGGCCAGTTTAAGTATTTACACAAGACAATTTCTTCCTCCGCAACTAGAATCAGTGGCACGCTTGATTTACTCGTTATTTTCGAAATTATTTTTTATTTATCCACTATAAGCATAGATCGCTAAATTTTAAAGTAAGATGTTGATTTTAAGCACTTTCTCTGGCAAAGTTAAAAGAAAAAGGAGAGTAGAGAGTAGTGTACAGAGCAATGCAGTTTACAAGTTTAACACAAGGGTTTTTAAGTTCCCTGTGGGAACATAAGGGCAAATTTGTGTTGAGATATTGAGGAGATTTCAATCGTAGATGTTTTGATGGCATTTCAACGTCCAACGGACACTTGAAGTCTAAATGTCTAATTAATCTTTTTAGTTGGAGTAATCTCTCCCCTGTAATTGATATCGTCCCCCTCTTAGACTTCATTATCTCTCTCTCAATGGTTTAGTAACCACTGATTTTTGTCCTTGGTTAACTTAAGGCTCTAGAATAGTTTTTTTTTGTCCTAACGAGTTAACCAAGCTCTCTACTGTAATCTCTTGCATCTTCTTGATGCCTTTAATACAATACATTACTTCATAAAGAAAAAGATATTGAGGAGATTTCAAGGTAGTTAATCTAGGGTATTGGGGCTTTGTTAGTACAAATACAACAACAACAACGGCGACGACCCAGTAAAATCCCACAAAGTGGGGTCTGGGGAGGGTAGTGTGTACGCAGACCTTACCCCTACCCCGATAGGGCAGAGAGGTTGTTTCCGATAGACCAAATATGGATAATAATATCCTTGATTATGATATAAATACTGTCCGAATCAGTGGATGCAGATGGGGCAAATAATAGTGCAAGTAGGAGGAACAAACATAGAGTATCGATTCTTGTCAGTTGTATGATGATTCATAATATCCTCTTCTATTTTTGCAGCAAAACTCCTGCAGTACTATGAGGTGGCTAGTGCTGACCAATATTCTTATGGAAAGGCTTCAGGAATGTATCACTCTAAGCTAAGGTACATTTAAAGTATTTCACGTACTTTATCTGAAGTATTTTGATCTTGTCTTTGCTCCTCCACCCTGATCTACTTTCTTATCACTCTTCTTTGGTTTAAGTTTGGGTTGGGGTGAACAAGGGAAAGGAGACAAAAGTCTAGCTTATCTAGCTTATCCTGTTGAATAGGTATCCAGTATGTGCTGTATTTATCACTGTTTTTTCTTTTCTTGAACAGCTGTAATGTGATCTAAAACATGGAAAGTCTTGCAGTTTTGTAGTGTTCCTTATTTACCAGTTGACTTGATTTAGCTGTGTCCACTGCTCCTCTATGTTTTTTTCCTTTTCCAATCATATGAACGATGTGACCTCGACACTTGTTAACTTCAAGGAAATGAGTTGTTGATTCATGACCAGGCATTTTAGCAACTGAATGGCATGTTTTGTCCATAGCTGGATGTTGATGGAATGTGCAATTGAAGGTTCCTTGTAATATGATTCTGGGATGATGTGGTCTTGGTGTTACTGTAACACAGGTTTTATTAGAATTTAGCTTGAAGGGTGATTTTGCTTGAGTGTAAGTGCTGTATGCTGTTGATGAAATAAGTTGTATACAGTCTAGATACTTTGGACTGCTCATTTATTAGCTATTAGTACGTCGAATGCTGAATAGGTTTTGGAATAACACCACATAAATATTACCACAAATTTTTAAGAGCTAAAAATGGTTGAATGTTGGAAACTTGTAAATGTCAAATTCTGCTTCTTCAAGACTCCATCTACAGGATTTGAACCTTACGAGTTCCCATCATTTGGGCAAAAGTGATATTTTCAGCAAGTAAGAAAGTTTTTTAATTTGGCTGGTCAATTTTTAAAAGAAAAACAAAAACAAAAAAGTGCCTCCAGGTGTTGTTTTGTGAAAAAAGACAAAAGTGAACTTAAAAAGTGTACAATGGGATTCGAACCCTCGCCAGTTATTCAGGAACATAGCTCAAGCTGGTTCTTCCTTTTTCCGCTTAACCAACAACTGATTTTACTTCTGGGTTCCAAGCTAAAAAGTATCAAAAGTTTAATAGATTTCTCAATACAAATACAGGGTTCAGGTAAAAGTTACTGGGTTGCCGGGAACCCATACCCAATACTATGGATCCGCCTTTGGTTTCAAAAGTCCTTTGCTGGGGAAACCACAAAGATCTAGCTTTCCATCAGTCGTGCATGTTGGGATTTGTATACCCATTGTTAATGGAACATCAAATCAACCCAACCGATTCAAGTGTGCATCTTGGATCATGTAGGCTTCCTGTAGATGCATTATAGAGTACCAAATTCACTTTAATAATCTCATTTTACAAGTAATATTATTTCATCTTAGTGGGTCAATTTTTGTGTTAATCTAAAGCCTTAAAATAATCTCATGAATAGTGAACATATCAATCAGTGTGTGGTCCGCCAATTGCTGCTGATTTGGAATGAGCTATGCCTATATTATGGTTGGCACAATGTAAATATTGACTTTGGCGTCTATTGTGCAATAGCTCATGGCATCTTGATATCCCAAAAACTTAAAAGTTGAATACATCAAGAAAACTTACTAAACTAGGCCACTTTAAGCAACATTGTTCTTTCCCTTTGTAATATGACCCAATTTGCTGCTCTTCTGAAGCGCCTTTTCTTTTTCCTCATTTACTGGTGGAGATTGGTAGAAGAGTTTAGAATTGCTTAATTTAGATCCAGCCCTCCAACATGGACCTGTAAGCTTGGTCCCATTTGGAGTTTATCTACTTGTAGTCTGAGGGTTTTGTGTAATAATGATATTGTGTGGTTTTGGGTGTTGGATTGGCTGAAACTTTTCATACTCATTTTTTTGTAACTCTGCACTATACTATGGATTTGCTGAAACTTTTCATACTCATTTTCTTTGTAACTCTGCACTATACTATGGTGGACTTGTGAATGCAGTTCGGTGATGGAAGATGGCCTTATTCCTGCTTCCTACTCCTATATTGACAACTTCCCTTCAAATCCATTTAGCTATATGGAGACAGCAGAGGCATGGAAGCATGTGGTTAAAAAGTTTGTCATTACTTTATTTACTTTATCTATTTCGTGCAACTGGTCATTCTTCAAGTAAATGCATATTCCTATGCTGTTGCTAATTGTGCAGTTATTTTTCCAGGCCAAGGTGCAATTTTTCCAGCTCAACAGTAGAGCCAAAAAGACTTGCTGAAGGTTGCACAAGAAAAAGGTATGCTTTCTCTCATTAATCTTTTAAAGGATTTCTTCTTTTCGGCTCAGCATTTATCATCAATCTTTTTAATATACATAGGGATAATGACTTGCACCGATCATTATTCATGCCAAATGGACTTCCAGATGGAACTGATTTGGCATATTATTCGAAGGGGAAGGTCAGATTCATTTCTATCTCAACTCTTAATATTGTCATTTATTGTGCATTGGTTTCTGTAATTTTTATTATGTGTTCGGGGCCTTCCGTTTGGCAGCAGTTGCCATAATTGTGATTTATGTCTGAGCATTTAAAATCTTTCTGCAGAAAGTTCTGGGGGGCTACAAGCTGGGAAATGGCATAGTCTGCAGCTGCTGTGATACTGAGGTAAATTTTGTAACACACACACCTCACACTTGTAATAATATAAAGCCCAAACATATACATATAAAATATATGTATATATATGTATATAAAATTCAGAAGTGCTGCTTACTACTACGCATGTTTTCTCTTTCTAAACAGATAAGTCCGTCCCAGTTTGAGGCTCATGCTGGATGTGCAGCTAAACGTCAGCCGTAAGTACTTCTCAAAGATTATTATTTGCATAATATGAAAAAAGGGATACTGATATGAATATTTCTATCCATTACCAGTTACCGTCACATCTACACTTCCAATGGACTTACCCTACACGATATAGCATTAATGCTGGCAAATGGTCAAAGTATTGCCACCAATAACAGTGATGATATGTGTACAATATGCGGCGATGGGGGAGAACTGATTTGCTGTGATGGGTGTCCTCGGGCTTTCCATGCAGGTGCTTTCTTTTGGCTCAAATGTTTGACAAAGTTTTTATTCTTGTCTTTCTGCAGTGTACTGGTTGGTAAACTGATAGATCTGTACATGGTTTGCTCTGTATAGTATCTTAAAATCACAATTTAGTGCTCCTTCTACTTATTTGAATATAAATGAAGTCCATGTTACAAGAAATTTGCTAAGCTAGACTGCATGATTTTTTGTTGTCTCGTGTCTGAAGGGGAGCTTTTTCAATTTCTCTGCCCAATAACCTCACTTGTGCTTATAAGTTTTGCTCATACAAAGCCTATATGTTTGCAGCTTGTTTAGGTGTACAGTGTACCCCAACCAGTGGTTGGCTCTGTTCATATTGTAGAGACAATTTTGTCCCTGGTAGGAAAACTGCAGGAGATGCAGGACCAATTATGATACGGTTGACAAGAGTGGTTAAAGCTTCGGAGTATGAAGGTGGTGGGTGCGTTGTTTGCAGGTTTGTCACAGTTGCTGTCCTTCAGAAAGCATTTAAAAATTAT